ATTGAAAAAGTGAAGGGGGTCTGAATACTTTCCAAATGCATTGTACATAAATACCATGTAGCTTATCTGTTAATGCATAACCTTATTCATTCAACCAGACATGCTACATCTAACCTGATACACACATTGCATTCTTTTATATTCAGTGTGGCTTTTTCTCAAGCAAACATGAATAGGACTGTAACTTTACTTTTTCTTATTTAACAGCTTGTGGTCTGTCATATTATTAGCCATAAATGGATGATGAAGGATCATTTCCCTCTTGCAATTAGCCACAGCAAACCTGCCCTACCCGTATCTTTTTTCAGCCACATCCCAACACACTGTCTTCCCTCCTCATTCCAACACACACCAAGGGCAACCTCAGCATGGACAAGATCCTTGGAGAGATGAAAAGTGACATGTAATGACTGGGAATAAAGGCAGGAGAGGGGATGGCAGTGGGGTTAGTAAATGTCTTGTCATTCTGAGTTTCCACTGTCCTAAGGATGAGTGGAGAGCATTTCAACTCAGCAGGTAGAAAACACCCTAAGATATATGTATATACATATCCCCACTTAATCAGGCAATCCTCAACCCTTGCTTTCATTTTTAAAAGGGCTCTTCTGCCTCCAAAAATGTATACCCCCATGCGTACATAGATTAGATATAGCTGAGCATTAGAGAAAGGAAGGCATTTTACTTATGTTTAGAAAGACCGCACTGCAGTATTTTTTCATGTTTCCTAAAGCTGAGCCATTTTCTCACTTTGAACAGATGGGATTCAAACTGATCTATGGCTAAGCCCCAAACCTGCATGTGTGTGTGTGTGCCTTTGAGTCAGCGTTGACTCCTGGTGACTGCCTGGATAGGTCCTGCAGTTTTCTTGGCTTTTAAAAGATTTCGGAAGTGGTTTGCCATTGCCTCTGTCCTAAGGCTGAGAAAGAGAGACTGACCCAAGGTCACCCAGCTGGTTTTGTGCCTAAGGAGGACTAGAACTAATAGTCTCCTGGTTTCTAGCCTGGTGCCTTAATCACTACACCAAACTGGCTCTCAAACCTGCATATACTTTGCCTAAGTTAAGCCCAAATCCTGAAGATGCAGTAATCGATTTCAACATCTCCAAATAGCCAACGTTAGTGCAGACAATTCACAATTAAATTCCCTGACAAGTTTAACAAATGTAGGCTGTTATCACATTCTTACACTCCTGTTACTTTCCTTCTTCTACTTTCCTGAAAAGAAAAAGTTAAACTATGGGGAGGCTGGATATAGTCCTGATCTCAGACTTCCAAAGTTGGCCCACCACAAAGCAAACAAGAGGCAAAAGGCAGAAGTGAGAAGGAAGCTGGACTGCAAGGCAGGACTTAGCAGGAGTTGTTTCACCCATCATGCTAAGTCATTGCTTACTTCTACCCTGGTTTTGCACAAATCATGACATTTTGATTGACACATCACATTAAGCCATAAGCAATTTTGAAAACTGCAATGGGTGGGTTTATACCTTACACTGAATCCAAACTAAACAAAACACATTACGGTTTAGTCCAATGTGGCAACCCAGCATTTGACATTAGAGGGCAAGCAAGGCCAACTCCAGCTTGCAAAACAAAGTCTTGGCCAGGAAAGGCAGAAAAACCAAAACGGGGGGAGAGACGGCATTAATATCAAGAAGAATTAACCAGAGAATGTGCCCAGCTAAAGCAGAAACTTCTGTGATGGCAGAAACAGAACACAGAGCAACTATTTGCAGGAAAACACGAAGTAATTAATCATTAGATTTTTCTTCTAACTAAAATACAACTTGTGATTGGGTTTCAATTTAATCTGCATCTTCAGGGTGTCTTGACTATGAAGATTTGCATGCATGGTATTACTGAACTAGTAGCTTATGCAAATGGCATACTTTGAACTGATCCAAACTTTAATTTTTTGTGCCTCTAAAACTAGAACTATTTATTGGCACAATTCCCTTCCTCTAAAAGACATCTTGGCTTCTCTCTTGGGAATGCCATAGCAAGAAACTGTGGGGTGGGGGTGGGGAATCAGAAGTGATTTTCAGGCCCAGGAATTCTGGACAACCTCCTGCTCGCGAAAGACCTCACAGCCCAAACAATTTCTAATTTTTTTCCTTGTATGCAAGCAAAATCTCTTTTAAAAAGAGGTGAAGGCTGGAACTTCAAAGAATTTACATCCACCAAAATGTTTTCCCCTGATGCTAGTATGAATGAATGGAAATAAGGGCTAGCCATTTTCATAAACTGGGCTTTTGGGTGTTTTGTGGGGCGGGGGGGGGGCACATCTGAAAGTGAAACAAGTACATCATGTTAAAATGACTTTGCGTTAGCTTTGCAGTACCAAGATTACATTCAAGAGAGAAAAAGGTGAATATTTTTTAGCATGACCCATGACAACTTTTTTAGGTAAGTTACAAATATCACTGGTGCCAGCCTAGCTGAGGTTCCACATTAGGATGGGACATGAATTTTGCCTTTTTTTCTTCAAATATTTTTTTTTATTGTTGCAAGACCAAACCTGATTACTTTTATTACAATTATGTGTAGGCACAGGGTATCTCTAAGTTAAATCTATTTTCTAAGATATGATTTTTAAATGAAACAGCACCGGGACCAGAATGGGTGTAGGTCGTCCTCGCTCAGAAGTCTTTCTCCTGACCCTTAAGAGGTCCCTTCGTCGCTCTTTCTCAAGCAATAGAAAGAAAACCTGACGTATTCCTTTTGCATCAGCCTGATGAAAGATGAGTCAACCTGCAAATGAAGCCCATAGATCTTTTCTGCCAAAAGCTGAACAGTGGACATTTTCCACTTGTACGTGGAAAGCGGAGGCTCGAGCGCCTGCCATCATCCTGGCAACCTGCAAAGCTCGGCGCAAAGACGCGTGCAAGAATTCCGCATCTCCGCTCCAAAGGCCCCACGGTCTGATTTATAGAAATAAATCCTTCTCCATCCCTTTTTATTGGCTTTCCTACCGACAGGCGGCTGAGTCCGGCGTAAACCGAGTAGCGGGAGACTGAGCAGAAGCGCGGCGCTCGAGCAGGAAAGCCCGACGCGGTCAGTGAGGAACGCCGAGCCCGCCTTAAACAAGGAGTCCTCAGCCCCTCCCTTGTCCCAAGATGCGGCGGAACCGCCACCGGTTGCAGCTGCTGCCTCTCTCGGTTTATTCCGACCGCTTCGGCTTCCCTCGCTCCTGGCGAGGGCTCGTCTTCCTTACGCGACCCTTCCAGCTGCTTCCCGTTGGGGACTTTGAAGGCGTCGCCGCGGAATGACCCACCGGCGCAGGTCTTGGCGCCCGGTCGAGCGCCTCCCTCCACGCGCGGGGACGCTCTCGCCTTGGGCCCCTCGCCAGCGTGAGTGCGGGTTGCTCACAGTCCGACTCGGGAAAGCCCATCCTTCTGCACAAGTCGAAGAGATGTGGCTGGGATTGGTTGCCGGGGTGGGTGATCTTATTCCTGAGCATGTGAAGAGGGATTTCTCTCTTCGTGGAGAGTCATTGCCGTCCCGAGGTGATGGTCATGTCTTCTAGTAAGCTTAACACGGTCTGTATGTAAGTTAGGCTGAGAGGTCAAAAACATCCTGAAACCACATTCGTATAGCAAGGAAACAATATGAGGGTGTCAGGAGCCTATTTTTCTATTTTCTGTTTCATTTGAACAGATGAAAAGAATGTTACACTATTCCAGGACGTCTTTCTGCAGAAAATAACTATGAATAGCCGAGTTCGTGCCTTTAACTGGGTGAATTCTGCAAGTTCACCTCTTCCTGACCCCAACCACAGAGTTTAAAGCAGTTTTCCCTTCATGGTGCAGTTCTAAACCACAACTCACATCAACCCCAGGAACAAATATGGTTGGGGAATATAAAATTTAGTCTAGAATTTTTTGTAACCAAGAAAGCGACTAGTTTCCAAGAAAATTGCTTCCTCGTGCCCCTCTTCTGTGGACTCTTTGCAGGCTAACAGTTTTTCTGCTGTGCTGTAACTTCCAGACCCTTCAAATGTTGTTTGAAGGCTCCTAATCTTCCGCCACGGAGAACCAGGATCAAAAATCTCAGCCCCACTCTGACTTGCTGCAATCCTGCAGTAACAAAAAATCCTTTGCTCCGTTCCACATTAAAGGAAATTAAAATAAATTACTTGTGCCCAGGCACATTCCATCCACATCTTTACTTCACACTGCATTAATTTGTCAGGCTGGCTGCAAAAAAGAAAAAATCCCTATGCAGGGAGGAACTGAAAAATCATCAAACTATCTCTCCCTTTGAAAGACCTGCTAGCCCAGCTGTGACCTGGGAAGTAGAGTAGCAAGGATTTCTTCGATCCTTGAAACAGACCACCACAGTCTGTCTACACTGTGTTGTTTCAAAAACAACAACAACCAAGCTTTGCAATGGTTTTAAGTATATTGCAGGTGAGATGAAAATGACTCAACTTAGCTGTCAAGGGGCAAAAGATGCAATGAGGCCAATTTTCTAGCAACACAAATACCTTATATGAAGGGCAGTAAACCTGGTTATAACTGTGCTCTTTTTTCTAACTTATAAATACTGATTGAGGAGGAGGCCGCCAAATGACCAGGCTTCGGGTACCTGATGTGAAGACATAGTCTCTGGAGGTCTTCTCTGATGCAAAGACCTAGTTCTAATGCTAGGAAAAATGGAAGGTAAGAAGATGATCAGCAGCAAGGTGGATAGACTCAGTTACAGTGGCAATGGGTGCACTATTGAAACACGTGGAAGACCAGGTTGGGGACAGATCATCATGGAGAAAATCTATCCATGTGGTCACTAAGAGTTGACACCAATTTAATGGCACATTCTCAATCAAATCAATCAGTATGCTACAAAAAGTGTTTGAATGGAGTGTTGTATAACTTCTTGCATAGCTTGCAAACATCACAGTCGAGATCCCCTTTCTTCTCCCAACCCTATTACTGTTTATGTTTTATAGCATATAACAAATACACTTTTTTATGGAACTAGGATATATTTTCATATTTTCAGTAAATGGCTGAATCTCTTGAAACAAACTGGTGAGGCAGATGGTTGAAAGCAACCTTAACCCTAACTCAACAATGGCTAGAGATCAATGAGTACATTTGATATCCTGATTGTATCAAATATTTAACATTCGATTATGGACTGTATACAATGAATAATGTATGCTTGCTATTAAATATTAAAGTTTAGTACCTCTGGTCAATGAGCATGAAAAAAGTGTTTAAAACTGACCTGCTGATATTTTGCTTTCATATTTTTTGCCAGACCGATTGCCCTGGGCACTGTCTTTTACTGATTGCTTCAGGAAGAGTTTTTGTGGAATACAAAACAAAACAGGAAGATTTTTGAGGGCCAAGGGAAACAAATAGCGTTTTGATGCACAATTTAATGCAATATGCTTATGAAGATTCTCAGTCATCCAGGTGGAATTGTCTAGAGGTTGAGTCATGGCAACTGGAGTTCTTTTCTTTTTGGTTAGAGACGTTTCGCTACTTGTCCAAGCAGCTTCTTCAGCCTAAAAAGTTGGTTAGGAGGGACCCCATTAAATGAGGACACTCATTTGAGGACAATAATGTTCACATTTTGGACCGAGAAGATAGGTGGTTTGAGAGAGGAGTGAAGGAATCCATTTATGCCAAAGTGGAAAATACAATAATGTTCACATTTTGGACCGAGAAGATAGGTGGTTTGAGAGAGGAGTGAAGGAATCCATTTATGCCAAAGTGGAAAATACAATAATGTTCACATTTTGGACCGAGAAGATAGGTGGTTTGAGAGAGGAGTGAAGGAATCCATTTATGCCAAAGTGGAAAATCCTTCCCTTAATAGAAGTGAAGGCCTCAGACACAACTTGTCTCCCATTTTCCATGCTGCCCCTTCTTCAGTCCCCAGGAAGTTTAAGAACAGTTCAAAAGTTCACCAGGAAGGCAACACTTAACATCCTCTTGGGGATGAGTGAGGATTAGGAGTAAGACATCTACATCTCAAAGACTCTACTATCACATCTCCTATTGTCCCTTAAACAAGCCCATCATGTTGGTAAGAAACACAGCTACCCTGGAAGACTTTTCATGGGGTCCCCCCTAACCAAATTTTTAGACTGAAGAAGCTGCTTGGACAAGTAATGAAACGTCTCTAACCAAAAAGAAAAGAAGTCCAGTTGCCATGACTCAACCTCCAGACAAT